CCACCAAAAAAGGAACACCGGAACAATAGACTTTCTTCTTCTCCCATCATACGATATTCATTTCGGATAAGAAAATTCAAAGGATAGTGCAACGAAAACGCACAAAGTACTCTAATAACATTCGCGCAACTGGTCACCGATCTCCGATACCTATCATTTTTCCTAACTCGTCGGCCACCGTTTGGCTTTCGATCGGACAGACACGATTCCCTATCGATTAGATTATTGTATGGTGCACGGGTAATAGACTGCGAATAAATAATGCGAAGAACAATTGCTTTTCCGCTGGGAAAAAGCGAATAATGAGATTACGCGTCGCCCAAAATTGGCCAACAATTAGACTCGCAACACGTAGCCATGAAGCATCACTTTATTGGCGTGGAACGTTAACGGTCGCGTGGAAAAACGCGGAAAAAGAGGGAAAAGGCGAGATAGAGAGGATTCACGGCGTACGCTCACGCGGCGGAACGCAAAAACGGTACAGCGCGAGCAAACACAGCCGCAAAAAGAGACTAATTGAGATGCTCGTGTAATGGACATTTATTGTATTTTCGGAAAAAAAAGGGTAAATATTTTGTAGACGAATTACCAGAAGAGGACTCTAAGGAATGTTGATACAAGGATCGATCGCGGGACCACAGTCTTAACAAAAAAAGGTATACCTAGCTGGAACGAGGTGAAACAACATAGGTGTTTGTGGAGGCTTTGTGCAGCGATTATTGGTCTTAGCAATTATCCTGTAAAAAGTGACGGGCTGTCCGAAGAGTGCCGGTAACGTAGATAAATTGGTTCGAGCGGCTGAAAAATCACAAGGGACACGTTATCCACGGAGATACTCGTAGAGACCGTCGACTTCGAATTCATTTAGAGGTGTAATCAAGAAAAATGCGACGCCCGAGGCAATATTACGCTATTTTACGGTAATTCGTGTCCTGGTATACTACATCTTTATCTTGTGGCGCGTGGTAGTCACGGTAGTCACGGTACCGAGAGCTGGGAAACATCGTCGAAACTTTCTGCAACTAATTTTCACGGGTATCGGATGCCCGATATTTAATGACTCAATTTACGATATTAGCTTTGTTAAAAAATAATAATGTAACGGTAGCCCCGGATTATTAATAAACGAGACCGCTCGGTATCGGTTTTCAAAAGTTCCAGACCGCTCATAAGAAACACTGCGAAAGTTCCTCCATTTACGGCATGCATTGTCTCGTTTATCCTTTTAAGAAAATATCCCAAGTTCACGCTCCGATGCTGTGTGTAACTTTTACAAAGGCGTACATAGTTGAATGTACGAAGGTCACGACGCTTCCGATGCCGCGCGCAAATTTAAAAAACTTTTCCGGGGCCCTGTGATCTCCGGTTCAGTGCCAGTTTTAAGATCTGTCTGTATTCCTTTTCTCCTGGCGTCTATCGTCAAAAGACATCGATGTTTCTTACGCCAACCACCGCTTTCAATTGCAATTTTCCAAAAGTTTCTTCTCGTTGCGTCCTGGTCCCGTTCTCTTCTGTCGATTTATTACCACCTAATAACGGTAAAACGATTATACAACGCGAAAGGGTCGTAAACAAATAAACGATCCGAGCAGCAAGCTCGGCGAAACGAAGCTTTTAAGGCTGCGGCGACCCTCCGTGTCTCTCATTAGTTCTAATAAATGCAATCGATGGAGTTTAACGCGAGTCTGTGAATCGCGACGCTTCCTGTTGCGTTCATCGCCGCAACGAGGATATAGGTTCGTTTCGAGAGAGCAGAGAACCGTTCGTAAATTCATTTCGTGGAACGACTTTCATTCTGCGGCCGCATGCATTATCGTTGGTCCTTTTACGTTGTAAATACGAATAAGCTCCGGAGCGTTTTCGACGACGGATAATGAACGGCTCGGTATTCACTGAATACTATTCAGCGTTTTGTCGTTCCGATGGAAGAAATTTGAGAAACATTGTCAAACCAGAAGCAACAACGCGACATAACATCTCGACGAGAGAAAAAGTCGTTCGACCTGACAGTATTGTGTGGTTTAATTAGACCGTAGTTGTGCCAACGGGTGCTGGCACTGTATAAACCCATAATCGACAAATGAACAAACACGGGAACACGGCGATACCTACTTTACGCGTAATTACAGGGAATTCACTGGAAAGCAACTTTCCTTAACGACTTTCAGCCGGTACATTGAAATAAACTGAAACGAAATTCTCGGTCGTCGCGCCGCCCCGCGTCGGTTCACCAAAAGAAACGTAATCAGGGGGAAAGTTTGAAAAAAAATTTTCCGAGCGCTTAATGAACTTTTGGGCATATTCTGCCACTTGGACGGTAGATTGCTTTTTTATTCGAGTCTCCCTTTTATCCCGTCTACTCACCTTCTGCTGTACTTCTACTCACCCTTCATCCGAAAACTTAACTTACTCTCCTTGTTCGAAATGTATTCTCCTCGGTAGCGCGTTCCAAGATTTACTTATTCTCACTGCGAGAAGGATGCGGCCGTATAATATGTACAAGCGGGTAATTCCTTATGAAGAAATAAGAACAAAATATACCTTTTTAAATATCGGCCGGCGTTTCGAACAGCGAAAACTGTACCTACAGACGTTATCCGTTCAACCTTTCCCTTCCAAGACCGTCGCTGATACCACGACACTGCAATTTGCCGTTACGATAAGGGAATTCCTTTCTAAAGACCCCGACAAAGGAACCTTGTTTCCTTCGGGTCTGACCGCTGAAGGGAACGCGGCGGTAGCATATTTTTGCAAACGTAAGTTTGCCTGCTCGAATCACGAGGGCGTTCTTCTGTATCTGTATCGGAGACGAATGCGAAATGCATGAATCCGAAAGTAGTAATCCTTGTTCCGATACTCGGGGGGAAACGTTCGGGAGAATTCGGTTTCCAGGTGCGCGAAAGCAATCGTACGGCTCGCGCGATCAATCCGCGACATGGATTTGTCAGCGAGAAACTTATTTCCTGCACGAATCTCGAGATCGAAGGATGCCTTAAACGCTCGACTCCCTTAAAGGTCACCTTTTTCGATGCCTTTGTCGTAGCTGCCGGATTATTGAAAACGTTCCGAAGGTGTTCCACCACCCTCGTCTGTGACTCCTGTTACGAGCACACGATGAAACTTGTGTGACGCTAGGAATACTCGCATCGTAAAGGATCAAAGTGTTTTGCAATCTATACCGTTTCTCTAGCTCTGGCTCTTTGAGTAACTTCTTATGTATTTGGAGGTCCGCCTGGAAAGAAAGAGTAGTCAATGAGATAAATCTTAATCAGATTCCCGAAGTATTGTATTTTTCAACTATCCCGATTAAACTTTAAGCTTTTCCTTCGAAGGTCTATTTCGCAAAAGGGACACAACACACGTAGCGTGTCGAGATACGGTTCGTGCGACATGGTAGGTCAGGGTGTCGAGAGGTTCACCCCTACGCTAGATTTGGAAGCGTCCACCCTCTGTCGTGCCAGCGAGCGAGCGTCTATCGGAAGTGTCACGCGACGTGTTCGGATCCACCCTCTACTCGGTTCGAGGAGCCCGAAATAAAATGGTGGGCGGACGGGATTATACGAAACCGGGCGGCAGAAGGGATCAGCTCGCACTGAGACAATGAAAACGTCGATATCCGGAAATCTGATTTACGGGTATCGACGGGGAGTCACACGAGATTATAATATCCCATTTACACCGTGTCATGCCACTCAAAGAGATTTCGAGTGTAACACCGTCACCCGAACATCCCAGTTTCTCGTCGGGTGGCTGCACAACCAGACTAACGTACCTATTGCTCGAGACATCAGTTGACGACAGGTTTTCAAGATTACGAAAATAATTTTCTCGATTCCCGAAAAATAGTAGGTACATACGAGGCAGGACGTAACGAAATTACCTGACACGTGGACTAGTTCCGTTCGTCCGCGGTCCCGAATTTCGTTGCCGAGCAACGTTAAAAATGACGTGTTATTTTTCGAGATATTTGAGCGGAACACGTGTCAGCCCGTCAAACATTTGATACGCGATGTCGGGATTATTGTTAAAATTAAATGAGAACGTTTTTGCTGATCGGTCCGCTTCACTCGCGTGTAAATACCCATACAGACGCCTATGCTGTGCATACAGGCTTGTACAGTGTGTTCACGTTTTCACCCGCGATATCCACGATAGAGGAAAGGCTAAACGATACACGATCGGTTTCTGTGGATGGCGTATACTTTGTAAACGCATCTCGGAGCGTTTAACTACGCGCGCGCTAGTCGTTAGAAAGTCAATTACGTTAAAACGTCGAATCATCGTCGACAGGCCACTAGGGAGTAATGCCGAGCGGGGCGTTACGTAACAGGGGGAGGGGGCAGGCGAATAAACTAAATCGCGTTGTTTAATCGCTATCGCCGTTTACGCGCTCGCTCGAACAAGGTCAGAAGTTTTGCCCACGCTACAATAACGGGCACCAGGGCTCGTTAACATACCCAATGCGATTCTTGCCACGTGCTCCCGTTTCTACGACGTTACATTAAGCAGATTGCGCCCCCGGATTTTCTATTTGTATGGGACCAAGAGCGAAGCGTGATACGCCTCGCTAAGAGCGTATTTGTTTCGTTGCCGTTGAAACTGACAGATGCTAGTAGCTTCGTGCAATCGCTCGCCGCCGCCACCACGCACCGCCGCTCCGCGGATAAATCTGACGGAACGGCGTTCTCTAATCGCAATAAAGGAGAGTGTGCCAGAGTGGCACGAGTTACGCGTTGCAATCATGTCGTGATAAATTCGACTAAAAGACAGAATAAACGAGAGAGCATTATTATCCCCGCGAAGCTAGTAATATTTATGTATAAAGTACACTCGATTAACAGAGGAAGGACCCAGTTAGCTCTCTCAACGTTGCTAATATAATTCACTGAAACTCTGTTTACGTTTGCAATTATTAACGCTCGCGGAATTTTTCTCCTGTTGCAGATGAGGAGCAACCAGGATGACGCGTTGAGTCGTCGAAACAGCGACGGCGACTGATTATGACGCGCGTCCGTTCGCGCCGCGATCTCTCTCGTTTCCTCCTGCCATTCTCATCCTTCGAGACCTTCCATCTTCCTTGCAACCTGATCCTTCTTCTTCTCGGCCTCGTCTCCGTTCGCAGCGTCCTGCCGTGCAGTGAAAAGACGAGGCCCCAGAGTCATGACCTCGCTGCGCTTCCTTGTCTAACCGACATCGCGGAAAGAAAATATTCCCACTGGGATCCCGGCGATTCTCGAGAGTGGATACAACATGGTTCGAGCCAGGACCGAATCCCCAGCTCGGTGGATCGATCCGACGGTATCGAAGTCTACGACGCAGTCGATCAACCGCCGCAAGTGGGAACAGATTTACGAAAATTCTTTAACCGAGCGACGAAGAAATACGGCAATTCGAACGGCGATCGTGACGACTCGTTCCATGACTCGCGATTAGACGCGATCGTGCCCGAAATCCCGGCCGACTATTACGGCGAGATACGCAGACGGCACGAAAGGCGAAAGTTTCGTCGGGAGAGTAACGTAAAGATCGGAATCGATGAGATATTATCGAATGCCGGTAATGCGAGTTATTCCGGTAAGAAATATATCCAGTACAGGGCAAAACGAAACTTTAAGAGGAAAGGTAAATCGGACAGACAAACAGCCTCGAATTTCCTCAGACCGGAAGGATCGCTTTCCGATTGCGAAGCGTGCAACGGTGAAGTCTTCGAGAAGGACCACGCGAGATCCATCAGAAGAAATAGGTCCGACAAAGTTACGGATCATACCGAAACGAGTGAAAACAATAGGACCGAGAATCCAATTTATTCGACGGAGATAAATGACAATCTGTCAGCGGCTACGAACGAGAGCAACGAGGAACCGTTCATCGGTTTCGAAGGCTCTCAGAAATTCCCCATAAAAGTCACGTACAAGCCACCCGTGGCACATCAGGTAGAAAAGTTCGACAGAAGACACTTCGGTCCGCCGAAAATGGACATTCCGGAAACCACCGACTCTATGTACCCGTCAACAATGTCCCCGGATCTACCCAAGAGTCCTGGACGGGATTTTCTTCATCGTCATCGGAAGGTCGACGAGATCACGGAAGAGGAACGAAGACAGGAAACGATCGACGCGAGCGAAAATGTAAACGACACCACGGACGACAGTCTCTGGTTACCCGGTGCGTCCTCCGGTCGACGTTCTTCAAACATAGCCAGCGGTAAGTCCCCTCCGGACGAAAAGCGCGATACAACGTTCTCGACGTCATTTCCAACGGTGACGTCGACGAGTGCGGACGAAAAGGTCTCGAAGAATGGATCGCGCGTCAAACAAGAGGAGGTGGAGGTGGACGAGGAGCAAAGTGTTACAGTGTCGAACGTGAAATCGATCGAGAAGATAAACGTAACAATTCTGGGCTTGTTCGAGATGACCCACGGCTTAGAACCGAGACCCGAAGGACCCAGCGAACTGCAAGCGGCCAGATTGGCCGTCGAACGCGTCAACGAGATGAATGTCCTGTCCAAATTCCGACTACGCCTTATTCACAACGACACCAAGGTAAGACCGCCGCCACCGCGTAATGCTTTGAGAAATTTCCATCGATTAAGCAGTTTACGAACTGTGTCGCGGTTTCGAAAGGATCCAGTTCAGAAAGACTTGTAAATTTGCTGCCTTTACTACGTACTCCGTAGATAGGGAGACCAGAGATAAACGTAACAATTTTTCTTATCGAGTCTGTAACTTTTGAATACAGTATAATTTTTTAACAATTCTTAGACGACGAGAAGCCTTGATGATTGGACAACATAATCAAACGTTAAAACTTAGAATATATTGAACCAGTTTTTTGAAATAAGACTTTCTTCAACATCACACATTTGTTACTTTTGTTCCTACAACTCCCCTTTCTTTTATAACAGTTGTTACATTCCTCCTATGTTACACTTGTCTCCTCTACTGCGTTTTATGTTAACGTAGACATGAAACATGGACGAGTGAACCAGTGTATGAGGTTTTCGGCTTTCTCGATGTCGCGTGGAAATTTCTTTTCCGACCGACGTGCGACAGCCTGGTATTATTTATGTATATATGTACTTATGTACATACATACGGCAGCATACATTTCGTGATTCACGAACTCAAACTGTTCCCGTCGGTGACACATGGTTTTTCCCTATACGATGGAATATTTTCGACGCACTCCCCCAGAGGTTGCAAGTTATATGGGTCAAAATTTCACTTCTAAATTAGCTTTGCGCAAACGTGCAAATTACGCTCGTTTAAAGTTTCATTTTCAGCTTGTATTTGCGGCGGCGAGTCAACGTCCTGAATCGTAAAGGAACATTACATGTACTCGTACTCAAAAATTTATATTAAATAGGCGGTAAATTAGATCGTAGTTGAATTATATCTTTTCCATGGAAGAAGTCTAGGCATCTTGTGAAAGAGTGGACTCAACAAGTTGCGGGTGGTAACCATTCAATTCGCGCGAATTAATCTCATCGAATAGCTAGAAACGTGTCTGCGGTTACGGATAAACGCGAATCGAATACGAATCAGTTTTTGCCCCCGAACCTTATCGCTCGTTCTCTCATCCCCGTCCTTTAAAGGTCAAAGCAGAAAGACGAGTGGCATACAAGGTGCTTGAAAATAGTAGTAGTTCTCCGTTTCGCATAATGGAGAAAGACCGCATAATTTCCACCGTAGAATTAATGATCGCTGCGTCCGACTCCGACTACGGTCACGGGATTCCTGCAACTCTGTAGGGTAGTGGGTTAATTTCCAAGTAAGAGAATTGTTTCCTTCATCTGTAACAAGTAATACTGCGGGTGAAAAACGGGTGATTAGAAACTTTCCTTCTATCAGGAGATTCGTACCTACTGTTTTGCTGTACACGAGTCGGCAAAACAAGAGTCTTTGTACACACCATTACGAGATTAGGAATTTTTTGGCGCACTCGGGACGGTCTGCCGAGGCACCGATTGTTTCCTAGTTTGAAAGTTTCCTTCCGACAACGGACTCTCATTAAATACGGTCCCGAAGCGTCACATGGCTTTTATGTGTCTTTTGGTGAATTCAGCGAAGTGCGTGGGCTCGTTTTACGTCTCCTCGGTTCACTGTGTGCGCTCGTTTCGCGCCTGTTTGCGTGTGTCACGCATGAATACGAATGCCCAGCTGAAAATGGGATTCGGATCAAGGAACAGCCGTAGGCCATTTGTAATTTAACCAACCCCACACGCTGACAAAGTTCTCGGAAAGGTGCTCGCCTTCCACGAGAGTTCGAAAAATAGGGATTTTTCCCGAGAACAGTTTCCATGCCGGCAGAGAACTCTCTCTCTCTCTCTCTCTCTCTCTCTCTCTGTCGCGCGCGTTAAACAGAGCCGCTTATCAACGAAACGCTCCCTCGTTGATCCCTGAATACTCGCCGTTAATGTGTTTGCGTTCCACGAAAATTTGCATGCCTCGTAATGCGATAACGGGGCCCACATCCACGCGTTCTTTTTCCGATCCCCGTTCACGGACGTTGAACAGCGCGCAGAATAGAAGGCTGTTGTCTCCGGTTAAAATGCTTTCCTTGTACAATGGGAAATGAGATTTTATTTCGGCTTCGAATCGGACGCGGGCAACCTGGAACCTTATTCGCGAAATGGTCGGTTTTAATACATTAAGCACTAAGCGGAGGAAACGCAGTTCGTTCAAGTATATTATTAACACTCCGAGATATGGAATTTTGATTATTTCAGATTCAAATTAGACGTAGTTAATTACAGTTCGGGTCACAATACTTCCATTCGCAATTAAGGAATGGATTCTGTGTTTAATTCTATTATACCTACCCTGTGTGGACCTGTCGTACCCCTCGCGTTTCCTGAAATATCATTTCCCATTTACTCGGAGAAACGTCGAAACGAAAGAGAGGGAAACACGTCCCGCGGGTGTACAGATTAAAGTGGGAGCCTGTTTCGAAAAGTGGGTTACCCTAAAAAGCGCGTCGCTATCACCGACATCGAATTAAGCCGGGAATGCAAGAAGAAAAGGAAAGTAGAAAATTGGGAAAGAGGTTTGAGACCCAGCACCCCGTTTTCGTATCCACAGACAGTAATCCTCTATCAGCCGGATCGAAAGCTTTTTTCGGAAAGATCTCGAAAAACGAGTCGAAGCACGACGGTACCATCGACGCATAATTACCGGCGTAGCGTGTACCGACGCTCTGGCGCGTATTCGAGATGCGCCCCTTGCATTCGTTCGAAATAAAAACGTCCGAACGAATTGGGTGCGCCACGGCCGAAATTATTTGCCCCGATTTATTCTGGCGTACATTTTTGGAGACAAGACGATTTCAGGAAAATGCAGTCCGCATTGTTATCGCGATTGTTTTTCCCACGGTGAATCTCAACCAACGAATGAAGTTTCCGATGCGATGCCGCGGGCCGTGCACCGCATACTAATCGCGAACTGATCAGCTACTTCGCCGGCACACATACTCACATAACGTCCATACTTTGTTCATTAATTTCCAAACTTAATGTGCTCCAAATAAAGACGCGATGCTAATACGACGTTGACCCTATTTCACGTTTAATGCCCATCACGCGTATCACTTTCGAAGTAATTTAAACGCAAATGCTCGCGGGGTCAATAGAGAAAATTGGACATTTTCATGACCGTTATTCTGATCGCGATCGGTAGTGTCGGACGAAAGGGTACGTTTGACGTACCGTTCCGAGCGGGAAACGGGAAACTTTGATTAATTGCTACGTTGGTACCTACCATAGCGCCGCCGCGCCGCTCCGTGCTCTTGTTCACCGACGAAAGTAAGGCGTATCTTTCATTACGACGCGGCGTACCTTTAAAACCCATCCGTGATGTCACGGATTGGAGTTTCCGTGACGTGTTCCCGCTCCTGCGTTGCATATAAAGCGATAAATTTACGGGACAATCAAATTTCCAACGCTCGCTCCGTTTTTGCGAGGTACATATCTATCTTGTTGTAACTTCAATAATTGCACCTCGGGCAATCTTTATGTGTCATTACTTAGTTCAACGGCACATTCTCGTGAATTCTGCGTTGAATAAATTCACGTTGTCTTGCTGGTAATCTACGAATTCGGAGCATTTCGAAAGCGGTGCAAAAAGTTCGAAGAGGTCCGGCGTACGGTTTTAAAAGCCCCGGTCAAATTATCGAGTCTAGCGAACCACGACCAGTTGCACGAACCTGGGAAAATCAATTACTCGAATTACAAACGAAGAGATAGGGAATTAAAAGCTTTCGTTGCTGAATCAAAGAGCTGTCTTCTCTCTTCGATCGCGATAATCCTAGACAATCACAGAGGACATGCGATAATTTTGACCGTGCGCCCTATATTCTTCGCCCTATTGTTCGTGCCTCCCTCTTTTCTTTGTCGCGTGATTCCCCTCGATGCCAGGATTCTCACGATTTACAGCTAAATTACTTTCGAGTCAATCTAGCCATTAATTTTCAAGCTGATCGAAAGACGAAAACAGAGGATCCCCACCCCTATTTACTTCTTGAAATTTCCCAGAACGACGAAGTTCATTTCGAAGGATCCCGTCGTCGATTGAGGGTTGTAATAAACCATCTCTGACAGCGTTGAGCTTCATCTGAACGAAATGGTCTGATCGAACGAGCTGTCCCCCGGACTGATTACGTGTCTTTCTCGCCGACACAAAGGGTAACCCGACGACATTGTTATTTTTCTTTCACGGCTCACCTATTTTATCCGTAGCCCTTAAATGAGTACACGCCAGATGTTTAATTATCGAATATTGGAAACTACACAAATTACTCGCGAATTAACGCTTAAACATATTAAACGGCATACTAGGAAATTAGCTTTTACACCAAGTACGATATCTCGAGGAGTAGAGGCTGGTAGCAGATAAGACGAGGAAAGATTAAGTAAGGAGGAAGCATCTTCGTGATGAAGTTACTCAGCGCTTTACATCTGCTTCACTCTGCCCCTATTAATGTCAATCATCGGTGTTGGCGGAAACAGGAGAATCGGGTATAAATTAATGGAATGTCATTTACAGACGCGATGTCCTTCATTTCCCAATTACTATACTTTCAAGGATCTTTTCCACCATTCGTTCAGGACCATCGACGAGGTACTTATTCCTTCCGAAAGCTTTCCTCCTTCGACGTCAATCTAACGCCCAAATCCACCCTTGTCGAGACTAAACAAAAGGCGAAGTGGACACTTCTATGTTGGTTGCTCGACCCAAATTGACAGCTAATGAACGACCACGATACTATGTGTTATCGGCATTTTTCCTAGATAAAGAACAAAGGTATCTGTCGCTTTAACGTTTCGTCATCCTTTTCAAGCCCTGCTTTTCGTCGTAACCATGGCGAATACCACTACGGCACTCCGGTTTCATACGCTCTTATGCCCACTTCATTTACGAGGTCCTGCACTTTTAAAAAAGCAAAACGGACATTTTCAGAACGCAACCGTAATAATATAAATTCGTCGTTTAATAATTCGGAAGAGTATAACAATGCGTAACGAGCGGGAATAATTCCACAATTATGTAAATACGAGACGATTAACCATGTATTCGGAATTGGCTTGTCACGGCCAGCTAACCACCGTATCGGCCTGAATCGGTCGGATCCACCACCGAGATATCGATAAAAATTTGTACACTCAATCGACTATATCTATTTGTCTGATTCGATGAAACGCGAGGACGCGGAAAATCGCTACGCTTTCAGTGAAAATGTGGCGAAAGCAATTCTTCCCTATAACCATGATGACACCGCAATTAAATAAATGAAACTACGATATTGGAAACAAAGAAAAATTGCTGATGCGCATTCACTTTGAAATTAAAAATGTGAATAAGTTTCGCGTGCATTTGTACACAGTGTGTAATGTGCTCGTGGCGTGCTGAAAAATGTCATCTGAAATTGATTTCGATATCGGTTGAAAAAATAGAGCGGAAGAAATACGAGCTCCCGTAGGAGGGTGAGCTCGCGATGAAACTCGACGTTAGGGTGATCCTTTAGAAAATGAAAAACGTCGTCCCTCGTTTCAAGGTATTCGCGAGAGATCTTGGCGCGCCTACGCGAGCGAAGATTTAATTAGAACACACCGCTTTGATACAATTTTTTCTTAGCTATACTTTCCTAGTCACGCAACCGCATTAAGTAATTCGTAAAGCATTTGAATGAGATTTAACGAGCTTCAAAAAAATAACTTACTACGAGTTAGGTCCCTACAGCATTAACATTTAAACAGTTACGATATTAAATGAAACGGAGAACCCCAGATTCTGGTCGATCTTCCATGGAAGGAACCACCAACCTAGCCGGTAATCTAAATGTCAACGGCTCCCTATTCTCACGAAATACCGTGTTTCGACATTTACCAGGGGCGCTGCGAAACGCTCGTCTCGGATAACACGAGAAAATGCTAATATATTCAATGTTTCGCAATAAGCTCGTTATAAGAAGTTTAAACAGCGGCAGGAAACGCGACCACCAAAAACTACGATAGATATACATATACACGTACATCGTAGCATCAAAAGTTACAGTTACGTTCGCGATGCCGCGTACGAACTTGCACACCACTCCGCGGTATAATCCTGTGCTGGGGTAAAGTTGTATAGTGTAGAGTATAGCGCGGAAACGTTAACCCTGGACAAGAACTTCGTTCATTCAAGATTACGCTGTCAAAACTTGGTCGTCGTGTTCGCGGAACCGACGTAAATTCGTATCGCCGCGAAATAAAATCTCCGAAGATTCGATATAAAAAGAAAACTTAGCCGTGATCACCCCATCGAATCGACCGAAACGTATAAAGATGCATCCAATCATTTTCTAATCATGATCAGCACCTTGATTTCAATTTTCTTCAGATTGATACGTTGCCACGGCCGAAAAGTTGTAACAAACCAAGCGCATTATGTCTGTTTCGTACATGATGTAACTTTCAAATTGGTCGAAGACGCGCGAAACCGATTTTTCGAAGGTCCCGTTCTTACCTGCATTCCATTTACGGTTAGCGCGATAATGGTAGTTTATAGAGAGCAGCACACTGCATCAGCGTTTCTCAAACTTTCTAACGACGCTACGCGACGCTTTACGGTGCACGCGATTGTTCTCTGTCGCTGACTACGAGAACCTAACCGGAGTTCACCCGTAAGTAGTTACGACCGATTATGGTCCGGCGTCGGATAAGCCGTACTACCTTGCGGAACTTTCGCGGAATCATTTAGGAAGCATAAATAAATACACGGTGTAGCGACGCGCAGTGTTGCAGTACATTTTGCTACGATTTTCTACAAGCTTCTATTCTTACCGAGAAAAGCCTTTCGATTTATCCATGTAAAGTTCCGAACATTGATTTGAGGAACGCTGCACCAGGTTGTCTTTCTCGAGGTTTACAATGGTGTTGTTGGCATTTCTTCCTTTTAGCAGGCGACACGATCTGTTCTATGTCAGTGCATCGCCAGGAGGAAACAGATAGCAGCTTCTGCCTTTTAAATAAGCCTCGCGTCGCAGAAGATTCCTCGAAGAAGCGAGCTCGTGCTTTCATTCGACCGAGTCACAACTTTGTCTTACAATTAGAATTCTCGTTCTCCCGGAATCATTCCTCGAAAATGAATCACGAGCCACATTTTTCCTCTTCGTTTCCGGTCGATGTGTCGCCGTCCCATTCTCGGTACCATGAAATTTTATTCCCCTCCTGGCTGGCCAATAAAATAGATTGTTCGTTTCGCATGGAAACATTACGTCCGAGCAACGAGTCGTGAATGCTTGATCCATTCCTACGAACGAACGAATATCGTAGGACCCTCTTGCCTTTTTTCTTACGATACCGCGACCTCCGATGATATCTTGCACAAAAGAATAGCGATACTGTCGAATTTACGGCGATGTTTTTTCGCATGAGGCGGTATAATCGGGCAATCGGCGTCGCACAACAAAAACCATAGCTCGGCTTCTCATTGACCGTTCCGTTCCACCTACGATACTAACCAGAAAACGTCCTGCTTAGACGTAATTTTCTATTCCATCGGTTTCGCCGTTCGACTTATACGTACAAGATATCGCGTACGATAGCCGGCTGAAAGAAAAACTATAGTCCGGTTTGTTCAAACAGGAAAATACGAAGAAGAACCTGATGTTCCGCGAGAAATTTCTGTAACAACGATACGGATTTCTCCACTATCCGTGCAGATTTTTATAAAATTGTTGAAATTCACCGTTCACGCGGAGAATAGCAATTTTACAGCGGTTCCTCGATCGGAAACTTTACAGGAGTCCGGTCACGTTCCCAGTGATCGCGGCACGAAAACGAAAGACGATGTATGGAGGTCGAGCAAGACCGATCGGATATCGGTATGTCAGACCTCGTAGGAACCGTTTAATTCCTTCCTTATTAAACGTTTCCTGCGCATATTTTGAGCCGTGATAAAAGCCCGTGAGCTTCCAATCTACGATGTTTGAACCCCTTTGTGAATACCGGCAGGGAATTCTGATAGTATTTTCGCCACTTGACGACACGGAATCTCTAATTTTAGTGTCCTCCGGTTTTCTTTGAAGCGTTCCCCATAAAACAATATTTATAGGGATTATTACCAGGGCTTCTGCTGACTCCGTATTCCCATGTGCATATACATACATGTATGTACCTACATACATACGCGTATACGCATATGCTTAAACGCAAGGAAAGCTCGATTGCGATTGAAACTCGTGACAATGTCGCGTCGACATCGGCTGATAGATAATCGAGTTAAACGTTACGACGCGACCGAAATTACGGATGCGCATGACTGATTGGATTCGATACACGAGCAATCGTGCTTTCAGCGTTTTAGCAACAAGTCGATTTCACGCGGACAGAAAAGAGCGTTCGATATTCAACTACGATTCGCCGGAAACAGAATTAAGGCGAACCCGGGTATAGGTGGGAGAAACAAAGGATGTTCCGGCGTATAGATTCGTTTCGCTGAAAGGAATGAAAAATCAGGACAATTTTCTCCTCGATAGTAATTAACGAAGTCGCGATTTCTTCGAAAAAAGTGACCGTTTATCGAAACAATGAAGACTCGGAGGCTGGGATACTAGAGGTGATGTCAGGTCGAATAGTCGGTATTTTCCCTGGACTCGTATTCACGGTGGATTCCGCGATACAAAACGAGCCCTTGAGCTTTATACGAACTTTCAAGCTCGTCGTCCTAGTCACCGCCTGCCTTGAATAATTGCTCGTTAAGGTTCCAACGGTTCGTCTAGTCTCACCTTACTTCTCCAACGAATACACGGGTATGCAATATGACAGAAACGCACGACACCCTTCTCCTTCTTTTTACTTCGAGACACTGACTTCGTTCTACCTTCCAACCGCTTACTTTTCAAGAAAACAGCGCTCTTCTGTACTCGTATCGATTTCCACCGCGCACAATGCCTCGATAGTTGGATCGTTCTACCGATGCATTCGTAATACTCGCGACAGAAAAATAGACCGATTTATCAAACTATCAAGCTACATGCGATATGGTATCCTGACTAGCATTTATTTTCAGTGCGATCCCGGTGTAGCGGTTGATCGATTCTTCCACGCTCTCTACTCGGCGAAGAAGAATGACCTGATACCGCTGCTGCTGGGCACCGCCTGCTCCGAGGTCACGGAAACCTTGGCTAAAATCGTGCCCTACTGGAACGTGATTCAAGTCTCCTTCGGATCTACCGCACCTGCTCTCTCGGATTCCACGGAATTTCCACTGTTCCTACGAACCGTTGCGCCGGATTCGAGTCACAATTCAGCCAGGATAGCTCTCATCAAGCATTTCGGATGGGACACTGTCACCGCGCTCTCGCAAACAGGCGACATGTACTCTCTGGTAAGAGGACGATTCGATACATACAGTTACGGTAACAGACAAGAAAATTCGATCGGAGATGCGAAGTGTTTAACGTTTCGAGTACCGCACGATATAATCCATTGTCTTGAAAACACGCAGTAAATCATCGCGACGACACTTTCTGTGGCTCGTTACGGGCCTCTGTCTGTTCACCGCGTAGGAAAGCCACAGACACACGAGCGAATAAATCCATGCCGTTGGATCTGCGCGCATCTCTCACCGCGAATCACTCCGGCCTCGGAAGTTCTTTAACGCGACGACACTGCGCGCGTTCGCGTCTCTGTTTCAGGCCGTGAACGATCTGGTGACGGAACTGGAGCAGGCGAATATCACGTGCACAGCGACCATCACGTTCGCGGAGAACGATTACAAGGAACAGCTGCGGACTTTAAAAGTAAGACACGCTTCAAATTAAAAGTTACTTGAATTTTTCCAAAGAGTTTGCGAAACATTTCGAGGCCCATGCCGTGAATAGTTGCGCCGCCGTTCGGTCCTCTGCGGTGTGAAGAATTTCACTTGCTAAATCGCATTTACCCGGGGTTGGCTTGCTTTTGAAACACAAGGCACGCGTGGGAGGAACTCAAACTCGGAATCCCTTCTTGGCACGAGGGATTAACAACGCGTCGCGGTCGCTCTCACGCGAAACTGAATACTAGATCTCTCGTCTGTAACAGTTTACGTCAACGATTCGGGGCATTATGCATCGAACGGTGGAAACATTTCGCGCGGAAAACATTCCGAAAAGAAAGAAGTCGCCGTACATTAGAGGCCATCAGGATGCGTCGGGCAAAGAAAATTGAGTTAGCCCTGGTACTCGGCAGCTCTTTAATTATAGTTCATAACTAATTACACGTCGCATCGGCTCTAATGCGATAAACTTGCATGAAAGACGCGCGACACTTGGGACGACCGACCAGACGGGAACGAGAAAGATTGCCCTCGTTGAAGCGGACTTTTTACTTGCAGGAGCTGGACACGAGAATCATCATAGGGAGTTTTTCACCGCGACTGGCGCCACACGTTTTCTGCGAGGTAAGCCATCGGATAATATTATAGAAACTCGAACCAGAGTGCATCCCGCGTGTTTGCGGAGTTAAACGATAGCCGTGGAACACGCAGTATGCTTCTTGGTAGAACGTACACATTCGCAGGATGGATGAACAATGCTGCTTAGAGTCGAGTATTTTTCCTCCCTCTTCGCGACGCGCCACGTATCCGTTAAAATTTGTCAACCACTCATCGAAATAACGAACGATAAGAGGCTTTGTTTTGCTATCCGAGAATAAAACGTGAACAGAGTAGGTACGTAGATGCACTGGAACGTATCGAAGGAACGCAAACAGATAGGGCTCGATCAATCCATTACACGCGATAGCTTTATGTAAATTGTTACTTTTTAATGGGGTATTGTAGAAAACAGGAGGCGAAACAAAAGTTAAGCGATACCCCAAGTGACACTTTCTCAAGAATACTAACAATAAATCTTACCCCTCCAAAATCCCCTCCCTGCCTCAACTCTGTTTCTGGCAATGCATCATGTCAGCAATTCTCCTCGAACTACAAGAAAATAAAACAGCAGTCGGTCCTGTACCGGTTCACAACCGGTGTGTCGTACGTTTACGAGCGTTTGGCCGTGCGCCGATGACAGCTCAATTACGAATTTTTTACAGACGCTCGTAAAATCGTCGTTTCCGAGAGAAATACCGGGCACTCGTCGTTGACACCGCGACATTAAAACAAGCGGGAGACATTATTTCCCATTTCGAAAACGGACGCATTTCAACGAGCTCGATTTACCTCCGATCGATTAGCTAAAACATATCGATGCGATCCCGTGGACCTTTGCGTGTCGGTTTTCAGGCGAAAATCAATGAAATGCAAACACATGGTCGCAGCTTGTGTTCCAGCTAAGCGAATAATGAACATTGTGTCAAAGTAGGACGCGAGTCCTCTCTCCCTCTTTCCCCAGCCCTGGCACTCTTGTTCCCTTTCCCTTGTCTTTACCATTATTCGCCGGTTGGCCTCGTATTTGGAGACCGATGCTTCCTGGAAGACCACTCGGCGGCTCGTTTATTGGAAGGAAATGTTTGAGGCGTCCATTTTCGCATATTAATGCCCGTGTAAATTAGGTCACGCATAACTAAATAACCAAAGTATATAATGTAAACCGCATGGGTATAAAGTCTGCGCGCTCGATGGAACGTTTTTTATTTTTTGCCGAAAATTCTCGCGATTCATGTAACATGCATTACTCCAGCCTCGCCGTTCCGAAATTTCTAACGGCGCATTGTTCGTTGAACGACCGGGAACTAATTTGTTCGTTGTCGGTGGAAGTTGATTGCTCATCGAAAATTAGTCGGAAAATGGAAAAGTTGGTGCGCACGGTGATTTCTCGATGCCTCGGGGTTCGTTGAAATTGTATCAACACGAGGGACTCGCGCTTCTAATTTACACCTATATCGCTTACACGGCACACAGACCGTTTCCTGTATTCGACGTCGCCCACAAATACGTCGAGACGAAATTGCGTTCGGAGTATAACGTGAACGCGCGCAATGCTATGCACGAGTATTGCCGTGACTCGCAGCGAATACGGGTCCGTTCTCTCTTTGATGCTTGTTAAAGTCTGACCCCGGATATACCACGGTTCGTTTCCTGATTTCCATGCTCGAAATCTAAATCTCGAAATTTTCCGGTAAAATTTATCCGCTGCTCTTCAGGTATCGTGCAGAGAACTCCCACGTTCCGACTCGATCGAGCACCAAGAGAAGCGGAGCAAAGGCCGAGGATAAAAATGTAAATTTCTCGTACTTCGCCAGTTAGTATTTTTTTCGTTTTTTTTTTTTGTAAACTCTCCGGACGCTTCGTTAGAACCTTATTAGGAATAAATCGCAAACTCGTCTGGTACCATCCACGCCGTCGTGCCGGGTTGGCCGCAATATTATCAGTCAGGTAATAATTAGTGGCAGAAGGAAATACCGCGAACCATAGACGTGCCGTTAGATCGACGATATCCATATCTTCCTCGTTCGAACGATCGCTAGACTCGTTACTTTCCCGATGTTTAATATTCGCGGGTCAGGATCGACCGTTTGTTATACCGATATCCAGCCGGGCGAGGTTTTTCTTCCTTTCTTTTTCGCGCGAGCAACGAAACAAGAAACACGGGAAACGTTTCTGTCGTAAATCAACCGAAATTAGAGATAACGGTCACGCGTAGGCTCGTAGTTCCGAGCTGGATAGTTTTTAAATACCGGTCGCATACTTTCTTCCGCGACGCGATCGATGCAGATTTATCGTCGCCGCGGGGTTCCGATCACTCTTTTAATTGCAAATAAAGTCGTGAAAAAATTACGAGGTCGCTGAGAAGGTAAAACGACCGGGTATACTCGGATCATTACTGTCGGCAGTTTCTGCTGTAAATAGTCCATGGTACCTACGTATGTTCATATTACTTACCTACCAGTACAGTGCACCCCTACAGTGCATCAGCGGCACGCGTCGCTCTACATCTTTTTATTACCACTTTTACTGCGTTCGCTGTTCCAGCAGGAACGAAAAGGAAGAGCCTGATTTACGCGAAAGCGCGCGTGTTCGATCCTACGAACTACGACACTTTACTCGCGCTTTTCTGCCACCACCGGAAACGGTATTACGCCCCGTATTTCAGCCGTATTCGTCGTTTTCGGATGCCGGCGTGTCTCAGCGCGACAACAGTCGCGAATTCGTGGAACAGCCTACATCTTTGTGCCGCGATTCTCCTCCGCGCTATTCAACTCGCGACCCAGTTTTTTTAACTTCGCGTACCTTCCAGCGGAGCATCCAAAGACAATGCGATACAACTACTACCACCACCGAAACGATTTCACGGGTAAACGGTAGACGAGCATTTTCCCGAAGAATTACGAAATTTTCGAAGGGACGAGACCGTAACGACTGCGATCGCGACTTCGCGAGTTTCGCGAGCATCAAAAGTGAACTTCAATTTCTACTATCGTTCCGTTCGCGATAGGTCGACGTCGATTTCCTACGTTCTAGGGACCCTCGGGAGTTCGATAAGAGACTTTGCCCGCCGGGAAGCGAGGGGAATTGATTAGGGAGAAGCGCGTTAAAAGTTTTTCCCCGGTTTAGAGTAGGGAACGGTGCTGCGCCAAAGGGACGCACGTCACTCTTTATATTTTACACTCACGCGATAAGACGTTGAGAAAAACGATCCTGTTCTTGGCACGCTGACTGACAAATGACAGCGTTCGATATACGATTTAACGATAATCGAAAGACGAACGATATCGGCGACGAGATAATGTCTACGATTTTATTAATTGTAAGAGGTGGTCTCGCTGCTTTCGAGGCGATGGTTACCTTCGGGAGTAATATTTCATTATATCGGCGCGATCATCCTTCTCGCGGGATACGGGATCGACACGAATATTTCCGGCATGCGAACGGGTTGCTCTCCGACCTTCCAGATGCGCATTGCATTCCCGGAGATTTTTTTTACAGTAGCTCCGATGCGACAAGTGCGACCCCATTAACTTTCTTCGTTGGCAAGTGCACTCGACGATCGATCCTAGGAGACGGGACGTATCGTGGTACGTCGAGAATGTGGGCAACCCGGCGTTAATTTCACAGTGTACGCGATACAAACGGGCGACGAGGAAGAATTTTCGCAGAGAAATATAAAACGCAGCTCCGTAATGAACGCGTCTGTTCTCTCCGCGAGATAAACGAACTATCCGGATGGAGCCCATATATTCGAGAGAACACGAAGGGCGCGAAGCTTTCAACGGCAGCCAATTCTAAAGCTCGCCTTATCCGTTTTCCCTGAGCTTCGCCAGAGCTAGGAAGAAAAACGGGCATGGCCCGTAAGTATCTCGGATCTTTCCTGGTCGGCTGTTTTAACGGTTCGGTCCGCTTTCTGTCCGCAATTAGGCTTGGAAGCTGGGCATGCACGGGGGCGACTATGCGTGGATCTTGCCAGGTGACACGATCGATCTGTCGGGAATGGCGGGCAATTGGTGGCACTCGGGGCCAGAGGAATGCACGCCCTCGCAACTATCGCAAACTCTGGATGGATTGATCATCGTCAAGAGTCACGGTTCCGCTTTAGGGGACGAGATTAGTTCGTCGGGCCTGGTGAGTACCGTTCCGATCGTTCGCCCTTTCACCATTAACCTTTCGGATTACGACTGGAGTACTCATTGTTCTCGTAAATCGAAACGTACTTTCGCACCGAGAAATCCTGTTTTATTAAAGTAATTACGTTTGTTACACAAACATGTACATACAATTCGTTTACCGTCTAGATTCTAAAGGAATATGCGCGGTGGTAAGTCGACGATGTTTTACTAACATAGAGTTTTATTCTGGTTAACGATTCAAACGACAGCAAAGTTAACACTGCCGTGAATTTGACGCACAAACAGCTTTTCCTGTAGGTACGTGAAAACCATCGTAAAGGCGGCATATCGAAGCATCAACGTGATAACAGAGACGAAAATACCTACCCCGTTTCGATCGTTCCTATATTCGAGCGATCAAACTAATGAGTGTTTCGCGTGTCGTTAATTGTTGTACATTTTATACATTATACAGAGCGGCCGGATTCCGGTGAAACTCTAACCGGATATTCAAAACAATTGGTTACGCTTCCATTCCGATTCGAACACTTCCCCATTTTTATTCTCGACAAAACACACTCCTGTAGTCGTTCTCGAGCATCGCGAGAACGCTTTGCTATTTTACTTTTTCAAGCGGCGTCATGAATAATTCTACTCCTATTCGAGTATGTTGAATATTTACGCGAACACGTAGAAAAATAGAAATTCCCGTTCCAGCGAGCTTCCCTGATATCCGGAGAAAAAAGAAAAATACGCGACAACGTACGACGACTGTCCTGTTTGCATATTCTCAGAGACGATGCACCGAACTGGTCGACTTTTCCGTTACACGAGACTTTCGACTAGGAAGGAATGATACGTTGTTTCGCAGGGATAAGATTCGAGTAAACGGTTATTCTCACGCAGAACTCTCCGTCGTTTTGGCGGGCAGAAATGTAAAAGAAACGCGAAGAGAGGTCCAAGCCGTATGGTAGTATCTATCCGAATAGAGTATACATAGTACGTGCATAGGTACATACATATAGCGAAATCGAATATCTATCGATATTGAAACGAATTCCAATCGGTCGAACAAACTCTGTCCCGATCACGTGCTTTTCGTTGCGGCTACGCAAACCGTTTATTTCATCAATAAGTAGAAAAATAAAAAAGTGGTCCAAAATAGGCAACTCTCCTCTACTATCCCGTAAAAGAAATTTATGTTTTCTACTTTGACACGACTTCTCTATCAAAGCGTGCAAGTTGTTCGCGCTGTCCCAGCAAACAATTGGTGTTCATTTTCTACCCTATCAGTCTCGAAAGTATTATATTATCATCTCTCGTGGCAATTTTCTGTTTTCCTTTCGCGATGCACGGCGTCACGGCATCGGCGACAGAGATTTATCTTCCCCGGTGAAAATAATGTAACAAAGAGGAAAAGTTGCCCGCGCCAGCGCGACCAAGGAGTACCGAGATTGCGAGTTCCATTTTTATTTAATCTTCGCGCTGAAACCTTTATCAAGCCGGTACGCGAAGTGACGGCGCGCGATGCGGTGAGTATATTTCGCGCATATTTTCAAAGGATTACACCAAGCTTCGTCGTAACAGCTATTATTGTTAACGCGATAACAATACGTTCGACGCAGACGAGCAGCAAATTCACGACGGAATTGGCAAAAAGAGGCGTGACGCATACGAAATTCGCCGCACAAACGTACGACGCAGTCTGGGCCATGGCGCTCGCCCTCGAGAGAACCGAGATTCTTTTAAACAGAGAGAACACATCCGTCGCCCAATACACGCATACGAGAAAGGACATCGCATCGCGACTGCTGGACCAGCTTAAACTTCTACGTTTTGTCGGAGTTTCGGTGAGTAGATAACGCAATGTCCCATCGGCGAAAAGAGTCTAGCCGGGGGGTGGCGGAATAAATATCACGAAAGTAGCCAAAGGTCCCGCGTCTGTTAAATCTTTCTGTGTATTTCTCTTCGGTCGCGAACAACAATACACGTATACATATATGAATGGAGAAAGGAAAAGTTGTCGAGCCACCTCTTTTCTTGCGCCCAGGATACTCTCATCAATCATTTACCGAGGCAATAACGGTGGCTCTTCTGCTTTTCAAACTATGTATTATGTATATGTATAAGGGACTTCGGAATCTATAGCTACTCAGGAGGCTACTATTCTTTTCACGGGGCGAAGGTTCATTAACTTTGATACAACGGTTTTTAACGATCGAATAATTACCATATTTAATAATCGAGAACTTAGCCGGTGCGAGAGAGTGGGAATGTCGTTAATTTAATTCCTGTGAGTCGATCGACAGAAATCGTTTGCACGTGTGCCGTTCGTTTCAGGGGCCGGTGTCGTTCGATGGCGCGGATCGAGTTGGTATTACAGCGTTCTACCAGATGCACGGTGAGTAAAGTTTGCATTGTAGCAATAGCGAGCCGCGGAAAGTGCAGCGTACGCGAGCTGTGATTCGATCGAGTGGCGCACAATGGACCGCTCGTAAGAAGCGATGCATGAAAGAGCAAATCAGAAGGGCGAACTGGAAAGCGCTGACAATTGCACACCTCTAACGACGGGACATCGCGTACACTCGCAACGTAGTTAACTGACGCGTTTAAACGAGAGCATGAGCCCATTTACGCGATTCCCATTGTCGAATGTCCGGTCGACGATATGATTTCGCCCGACGCGACGTGCCTGGCTTGCTAACGTTTCCTCGCGATCAGGTCCATCGTTAAATACGATTCGTACGATTTTTCTAAATATCCGCCAGTGTTTATCCTGAAATTATTCGTCTATTGTCTAACGAAACCAATATCGCACCGTTTAATCGAGGTGAAATTTCACCTACCGTTTAAGAAAAAAATTAACCGTTTCAAACGACGCGGATTCGCGCGAGTCTCGGATAACAAATCATCGACGAGTGCCACGATAATTTGACGTTTGTGCTAGAAACTTGACACGTGCCAGCATGAACCGGTCATGCATGTCGCACCGTCCCGAGATTGTCCAAACATGAGACAATTAAACCAGCGCTGCACTTAGCCTCCCATGAATTCGGTATGCGTTTACGGCCGAGTGAGAGCGTAATTAACGCTGTAACAAGAAACAGAACGCAGGCCAGTGAAACAGAGTTATGACGAGAGAATCGTAAAGCGCAACCTCTTGCGAACGATCTCTAGGTTACAATTAATTTCCTCCTTGAGGAAAAAGAATACCGGCGCGTCATCGTCGGCCTTTTCAAAAAAGATCCATTGAAAAAAGTTAATCGTTAGCTACGAAGCGTTAACGACTCTACGCATCTACAGCGAGCTAGGGTCTATTGGACCGTGAAAATGAACGACACGAAGATACCTAACCGAGTTTAACGATAAATTAATTAACCGTTCCGATTGCATATCGACATCGAGGGTTCCAAGGGGAGAGCTTGTAAGGATGCTAGCGTGGGAACTCGACTCGAAAGAGCCATAAGGACACTCGATGTCGCGTGTATGTGGCTTTCCGTGTGGCTGCCGCGGCAAGGACTACGAGGAGGCTGCTCGAGTCCCGCGATCTAAAGCATGAAATGAGATCGGCGTGAGCTTCGTGCGAACACGACCAAAGATGTTTGCCATTCTACCCACCGGATGTCGGTAAGAAGTCGATGAATAATTAATGAGAGGGGACCCAATGGAATCAACGGCGAAAGGAAGCGTGCCCGAGAAAGGAGAAAAAGTGGAGATGGAAAACAAGAGGAGCTGGAATGTATTACGCCGAGTCCGTATTAATCGTTAGTCCGGCAAAAGAAATAACTCCGTGTCCCGCTACGTCCAACAGACAGGCCAACGAATATCGTGTCAAACTTTTCTTCCCCCATTCCCGTTCAATTTTACATCGGCAATTTCACTCGTGTATGTCATGTACGAATTGTCACAAGCTCGTGCCGTCGCGTCTCGAGACCCGTGGACTTGGCTCCTCTTCCGGTTAACGACGCAAGCGCATAATTTCGATGGCCTCGAAACGCCGGCCTCGAGAGCCGACGCGACGTACGGCTCTTTGTGAAATTAAGCTTCTTTTCTGCCGTATGACCTCGATGTATCGGGGTGTCGATAACATCCCCGTTCTTCTCACCGAAATTATTTCGTTTCTTCGGATTTCAAGTAATTTGCATTTGGGCGCAACACGACGGCCGATGTTTCGATTGAACGTTATCAAAGTGTCCGATACCGGTTTCGTATTTACGGATCATTGTACCTTTACTATAATCGAAAATCAATCTACTGGAAAGTGCTCGCGCTTTTACAAGCCGTGCCATGAAATCGAGACTGGGACTCATTACTCCTCCTCCTACTCCTCTGTTCCCTCTCTCTTGTTCCATACAGTCGCTATTGGAGGAAGATCCGAACAATCTCTTAAAAGCTTCGATAGAAAATACTCTCCTGTGCTTTCTTCTTTCGTTACACCTGTGCCTGGAACAACGAAGCGTCTGAAACGAAGGATCCTCGAATGTTGCAATTCCATCCGTAATGCCACACTCGCTGTTTTTATAGGGTCGATATCTTGGTGAACTTGTAAACGTAGTTTCGCTTATCATTGGACAGCGAGGGGCTTTCAATTCTGTAACCTGTTTCGATCTTCCCAGTGGGATACCGTCGGTCCTGTTTGTGTTGTTCAAAGAAATAGAAGGGCATCGAGGATCGCGAGATGAATTCTGTCTTTTCGTGAAACATTTCTGTTAGATTCGAAAGTTACGAAGCTTCACACGTGGGAGCGCAGTCCCTTGAGATTACCGGGGTGGACCGAGTACCTGGCATTTTCACGCCATTCCGACAGCTGGACGACCATTCGCGGTCGTGGAGGATCGTAGTTCGGCTCGTTAACCTTGCACGAGCCTCGAAGAAGCAGCACCGTTCCTTTCTCTGGCTCACGGTTCGAGCATCGATTTCAGATGAAGTCAACGAACCGGCACGGATTTCCGCCAACGATACCTAACAGTACTCGCAAAGAATCCTCGGTGATTCGGACAAATTGGACACCATCGACCGTTTGATTTCTTACCATCGGTTTCTGTTACCTCTGTTCTGTATTTTTCTTTTTTATCCCAGTTTACTTCCTCCGCACACTTTCATCCATCCAAACCAGACGACAGTCGAGGTCCTACGGCTGTAATCCATCAAATCCCGTAGCGGATAACAGTCACGTCGGCGCGGGTCTCCGATTTAACTTTCGAGCATAATCTCGGCGACAGGAAAAAGGAGGAAAAAGGCCGGCACGACTGATCTTTTCTTCGCCTTTCATGCGACAAATCGAGCGCAACGAGCAACTTTTCCGTCAACTGGGATCGACCGAATATCGGATATACATACATGCATACGTACATACATATGTATAGGCATTTCTGCACGGCCAAGAAAATAATATATTCGAGCGAGAAGGATAATGCTTGGACATCATTTTTGTCGTGTGTTTCTGGTCATGCACATCAATTTATGGATCTGTGAAAACAGGGTTGATTTTATTACGCCCTGAAAAATTCATTTCGAGGACACGCTCGGCATTGAAAGGAAAGCAATTAATCAAGAGACAATGATAACGATGATGAAGAAGAAGAAGAAACAGAGGAAGCCACGAAGATTACGAAGGACGAATTGCTTTATCTTTCCGCTTCGGGAAAACCAACATAAATATTCTAGTTACGTTCTCCCAGATGAAACGAGCCCGGCAATTTCTTTCCTTCGATTTGGAACAATCTACCGTACTAATTGTCTTGTGCGGTCTATACTGATTAGTCACGCGAAGTAGCCTGGCGCGAACTAATGATACCGGAAAACAAACTCTCGAGCTCGATGAAAGAAGTTCTATCAGGCGATCGTAATGGCTGGAAAAAAGAGGTAACGCGAGAACATAAATTGCGAAAGTACTTTTTTCGCGGGGAAGAAACGATCTGTAACAGTGTTCCGTCTGAAATGTCTAAAAGAAGCTGTGATTCCGAGTCAAAGTATATCATAGGTACACAAATTGCACTGAGCGATTAACATTAACGACGTCAGATTGCCGACTGCAGCAAGCAAAACCGTGGACGCATGAAAATACTCTTCAGATATTTACATCGGTGAAAGTAGCGTTGGTTAAAATAGGTAAAAACTTGCAACTGTATTACAGAATAAAAAAAAAGTGTTCCTTAATTAACTATAAAGCAACGATAAAAGTAAGTCGAAGGCGTCGAGACGGCCAAATGAATTGCTCGAAAAAGTGTGTCAGAGTTTGAATGGCTGCGCAATTACGCTAAATTGTCCGTCTACATGGCTGAGTAATTACAAGAGTAATGCTAAAAAAAAACAGAAGATTTTTAAATTAAAAAGTATACACACGGTTGAATACCTTGAAAATCAAGATTAGACTCCCTTGACACATTTCCGTTGATACGAAACTTAAAGACTACACTGTAGTCGTGAATGTGCACGGTAGTAACATCGCTTTAAAGAATCACGCCGGCATCGTAAGATTTCGTTCGAATTAAAGACGGAAATGATACGATTCACGGAGGAAGGAGTTCCGTTAAAGTAAAGAATATCTCGATGTTGCCACTATCCGTGAAGCTGGTAGCAGGAACAGAAACTCGCTTAAAGATTTAGTAGGCCGAATATATCGGCATTTTTTGCGAACGCTAGCTTTGAAAGACCATCGAACGACCTGCTTTATTTTTAGCTCCAGCAAATAGCCGTCCGCTGAATTCCTAAGACGGTACGTAAAATGAAATGAGTACTGTTACTCAGACACTGTCATTACGTTGATTGCCGCAGAATTGTAGAACTCGGTGGTCTTAGAGAATCTTTCTGGAGCCAAACGAGCAATTCGATATAGGTACCTATATGCCTCGCTTGGTTTGCACACTCGAAACAGTTTCATTAATTGTAAGTGTCATGAGGCCGCTTGTTCGAATCAGGATCCCGTCGTTTTGAACGGTTTCCGCCATAGACAGAGTCGATCGAAAATTCTATGGCCTGAATTAAACCCCTCTTTGCAAGGCCCATGTATTCGACTTTATCAGCAACGTTGAGAAAATGGCGCAGCACGAATGGAAAAAGGTATTTACTCTACGGAAGGACGGATTTTCAATAGACGTGAGAGGAATCGAAATTGTTAGGGTTTTAACCTTCCACATCATCAGCGCTCTCCTGAATGTTACTTGATACGTTACGTTCTGGATTTATTCCGTTAATCTCGCGACACGTGGAAAGGTCGCCACAGGACAAGATAAAACGACAATAATTAAAGAACTCGAACAAGGAATAGTATGTGTAAACGTTTTCTTTCCTAAAAACTTCTATAAGAAACACACAAATCTGCTTAATCGATACAGAAAAGAACGCGTGAGAACATACAAATCGCGAGTCTATGATTATTGTAAAATTCCATTACTGTTAAATTATCAAAGTGAAAATGCAATCTTGAGAAAGGGGTGAACCCGTGAACGATTATTTAATTAAGCGAGGTACAGGTTGTTTGTTTCCTGGCGAAAAAGATCTTAAAGTTTTCCAATTACAGGCCACGTTATCAGACGGATAGCGATTTTCAGCCCGGAAGGTGAAAAGCTGATAATGAATTGTCCAGGATGTGCAACGACCAGATGGCCCGGGGGACATCCACCTGCGGCTCGAAGGGTTTTCCGGTACGTATTACCACTTCCGTTCCGTTCCGTTCCTGAGCTGCCGTGAGATCTATCATTCGGAACATTGGAATCTGATTATCGCGCTACGTCTCGATTGCGTTAACTCGTTGGTTGAACGGCCAACGCGAATTCAAGCATCGGTACACCGTTATTAGTGGTACACACGCGTTCTCTCTCCACTTTTCCCTTGGCGATTCCGCCGGATCGATCGTTCCACAATAGTTTACTCGAATTTCATTGAACAATTTATGGCAAACGATTGGTCCACAAATAGACGCGTTGCGAATCACTGCCATATATATATATGTACATTGTACATAACACCGATACATGCCAGGGGTGTTTGGATTCGAACTATGCGCATGTATGATCTAATCATTCGCAGCCAGTGTTATCGGTTCTCTATGCTAATAACCGTATTATTCGCGGAGTAAACGTTGTCGCGACACGTCTGGCGTATCTCGAAAGTAGCATGGATCCAGCTGCTACGTGTGAACAGCGATTCCGCACGAGCGTGTAAAATTTCATCACTTCGGTAATTCGCGTAAAGCGGTTGTAAAGGTTCGCCCTTATTAAATGGTGTCTTTACGATACTCCGTATAGTCTGGTCGAACCGACGTGCATGGTAAAAATGTATTCAGAATCACGTTGTCGGCCCGTTTTGAAAAAAAAAATGCGATCGTACTTTTCCTGTTACCGCCGCGCCGTGTAGGTAAGATAGCCAGAAATACTACCTATATAAAAGAACGAACGAACCGTTCCAACGTGGGATAAGAATGCTGAATTTCTGAATTTGCGACGTGGTTGAAATTACAAACTAGGGAAAATTGTTGGAAGAGCAAAAAACATCTCCCCGCTAAGAAGAAAGAGGCGGGGGAATTAACGTTCCCTCGTGGCGTTTCATGCAATTTAAAACGTTCGCCGCAACAACCATCCCATTAAGGGTTTATTACCATTTGAAGATGTCGCGGGAACACTAAAACAGTCGTTCTTCTTGTACACAGGTTACGAGTGGTGACCGTAGCACCTGCGGCTTTCCTTGCGGTTACTTGTATCGCTAGTGTCGGTGTCACTTTGGCGCTCGCGTTTTTGGCGTTCAATCTGCACTTTCGCAGGCACAAGTAAGTTTCATTCGACAGATTCACCGAACGTGAGGCCACTTCCTCGCTATTTCGTCGCGTGTCTCTTTTGCCGAAGATAAAATCTACAAATTGTTTCGTTTCCTTCGACCGATAGGAGTATAAAACTTTCGAGCCCTAGGCTGAATAACATGGCTGCTGTCGGATGCGGTCTCGTCTATGGTGCGGTCATCCTTCTGGGTTTGGATCACGCCACTCTCCCGGACAGCGATGATTATTATCCGGCAGTGTGCACAGTGAGCATTAACTTCCTTCTGCTCGAAATCTAGTCGGATCACGTCAGCCGAACTTCATCGAGGATATATCTATTTATGCCCGATGCAATTTTAGGCGAGAGTGTACCTGTTGTCTGCCGGGTTCTCTTTGGCTTTCGGATCAATGTTCACCAAGACCTATCGCGTGCATCGGATTTTCACGCGAAGCAGAAGCGGCGTCGTCAAGAACAAGGTACTTGTGACACAATAAAACCGAAGGTATAGGTCTTGCAGAAATCTGTGCCGTTGTACACGGCGCTGGCTGTGCAAAGAGCAGTCAACATTCAGCATTACGAAAACAACGATATTCTTTTGCTACTTGCAGCTGCTTCAGGATACCCAACTGATAAGCTTAATATGCGTCCTTCTACTGATAGATGGTCTTGTAGTGACCCTGTGGGTCACTTTCGATCCCATGCAGCGTCATCTGCGCAACTTAACCCTGGAGATTAACCCGCAGGATCGGGGTGTCGTCTATCAACCCCAGGTACCAATACCTACTGAACTTATAACTATTTGGCTAATCTCCCAAAGAGAATTGTAGGGGATACCTTCGTGATCGAATCGATGTCATTAACTTTAACGAAGGTAGTCAATTAATTTATACCCTTTGATTATCGACACAGGTGGAGGTATGTCGTTCGCAACACACGAACAGTTGGTTGGGCGCGCTTTACGTCTACAAGGGCCTGCTGTTGATCGTCGGTGTCTACATGGCCTGGGAGACAAGGTAAAAATACTCGGAGAACTGTTTTTTTCAACGAACCGGAGACCGTTTGATGATTTAACTGTACCCTCCGGACCGAAAATTCGCAACAACAACCGTTTCGGAGAGTTCACGTACGTGGAAGTTCGAATTGGAGAGGCGGGGTCGACACGGAATTGGAGTTTAATGAGGGATGCCATTAGGGCGTTCATTAGCAAAGGTGTTTCCTCTTTTTGCCCGAGAACTGTCATTCGAGTTATTGGCATCGGGCGTTACAGGACAGAGTCAAGGATACAATAACGAAACGTATCGATCCGTCGATATTCTAATACAAATACGACTCTATCGTCGGGTTACTTGTGTACTCGTTTCAGGCACGTAAAGATACCGGCGCTGAACGATTCGCAGTACATTGGCATGAGCGTCTATTTCGTCGTGATCACATCGGGTATCGTGGTGGTGTTGGCTAATTTGATGTCCGATCGCGCGACCTTGGCCTTCGTCACGATAACCGCCCTCATTTTGGCCTCGACGACCGCGACGTTGGCGTTGCTGTTTCTCCCCCAGCTGGCAAATATTCTAGGAGGCGAGAGGGCTGATCCTGTGGTGCAAAGTCTCGGCTTGAAAATCGAATGCAATACAAGGAGATTCATGACCGACGATAGAAAGTAAGTAACCGGTATTTCTACCACGACTCGTTCGTCGATAGAAGCAAGGGGTGGAAATAATGGCGATAAAGGTCCTTCACTTCCAAGCTATTCGTTCGAACGGATTAACCTGGAGACGAAATACTTTATCGGATCCTGGTACCGGAACCCTTCGCGTTATTCCTGCGATACAATGAATCGACTCACCGACGCGAGTTTCATTGAATTCGCTATAAAACGTTGGCTGTTCGGGGAAGTAATATTTAATTTTCCGTGGGAGCTTATTCGTTGTAGAGCATCGAACGGGGGAACGCGTAACAAACAACGATTTTCAGTTCGAAACGAAAGCCAATTAGAATTTAATTCCGCTGTACTCGATCGCAGTAATGTATCGTTCCGCATAAATCCGCCATAGCGTTCTTATGGCCACGATTACATACACCATACAACATACAATGGGCGCGCGATGCACCATTTTCGACGAGTTTAATCGGAATGAAATTTCACGCCGCGACAGCGAGCTCCAGTACCGCGTGGAAGTGCAGAATCGCGTGTACCGTCGTGAAATGGCACAGCTGGAGCTTGAATTGGCCAGATTGGAGAAACAATTGGCACAGGAACCCGTCGGACCATCGCATGCTTCGTCGAGCGCATCGATTCCACAACGCAACCCTAGCATCGGGGGTGGTCTACCTTTGTTATTGCTCAGTGTCCTCCCGCCGGTCATCCCTAGGGCTAGTTGGCCATCCGCCGATCCATCCGGTGAGTGAGATTCCTTCGACACGCACTTGATGTTTCGTTGTGCAAATAACTCCGCGTGACACTCGGACCCGGAGATTGCTTGGCCAGTCATTCTTTTTTTATCCTTCCCTTTGGCATTTTTATGAATTTTATGTTTGCCCGGATATTTGGCGGTATGTACCGAGGCTATACGTAGACGATTCTTCTACCTTGAAATCGCACATTGTCCGTTTCGCGTTGAAACGTCCGACGGAATAGAGAAACTACGACGAGTCACTCGTAGCAAAAAATTGGACCGTGTGCATACGGAAAGAAATATTTTCTGCTGAAGCCACTCGCGTAATTCCTCGTGTTTTGTGTAAATTTGCACGATGAACGAATCTTTATACCAAGGAGAGAAAGAAGGAACGATACATAATTAATATTATTCTCACTTCGTCGTCCTTCGGTCGTTCAGATGTCGAAGAAAGGTGACAAAATTTCGATTATTGCACGTACATACTTATAATAGCTTGAACGATTCAAACGTTTCATGTATATGCTTGTCGTTATACTTGAAGAAAGATACATACTGTTCCCGCGATAGAGGGCACTAGAATAGGATGACCGAACGTTTTAGGAAAGTTTGATATCGTTTTTCGACAAACCTAAATCTTTCGTAATTTTATGAGTTTTGTGCTTCAGGGGAACGCATTCTTGTTCGACGAAGATTGCATGAGTCCTAAACAAACAAAAAAATGTAATGTTTCCAGTTTCCACACGATACACGTACAATGTAGACCCACGCAAATGTCTACTGTTCAACGATCTAGAGCAGCAGTCTGTTAATACTGATCGCGGTGTAATTCAAGTTCGTCAAGCGACTCCGTTTATAATTTTATAACGTTCAATCATGAATTAACTTAAGAACTTAGAACTTTATCGACTGCTACTTGCGATCTCAGATGAAACAGTTCACACGAAATCACTCTAATTGTCACCCAGACGTCGGACCATATTACTAACTCGCAAGAGCCTGCGGACACAGTTCATACATTCCTGACATATTAACTGCCACTCGAGGGAGTAGACTGTATTTGTATCCCTCGAGCCACAAGTCCCCAACCCTTTGACAAGTTCGAACAAGGCCCCGATAGGAGTGTGTAGGTACACGCATCTACATACGTTCAGCTTTGCACGCATTTCGGAATGCAATGAAAAACACATCGAATAGACTTGACGGACAAGCTCGATGGTGGAACGATCGAGTAAACCCAAATAATTTCCAATAGAATTCAGAGGAGAAACGTCATGATACTCTTTGTCGATCCGTACCTGTCTCCCCTTATGGCACCGCTGCACTTACAATCCCGCTGAATCATGATTACCATATGTATGTATACCATCGAGATTGTCCATCGTCAGAAATGATCACTTAGCCGTACACGCAAGGAATCACGCGCATCGTGTAAATATGTATACGAAAGTTTCGTTTAGAAATACATACGCGAAAGTTACGCTCCCACGAGAAAGATGTGCAATTCTCCTCCTTCCTCTTCTATTATAATGTACAATTAACGTGTAGCACCCGCTTTCGCTTCTGCGTTACACGCTTCGATTCGCCGAGTCGCGTCGCGTCGCACCGCACCGTATCGAGGCGAGTGTCAGTAGACACTAGCATCCACCGATCGCGAAACCGACGCGGCAACGGTTCGCAAGATTCCTTGGACTTGGCATTTGTTTATTTCGAATTAGGGATGCGTCGGGGTACCGTAGCGTTTAGCAGTCAACCGGACTTGGAGCCGAACGGTCCCAGGAGGAGTCTCGCGGATATTTACAAGCTTCATCGACGCCGAGAGACGGAAGGGCCGAACCGTTTGGGTGTTTTTCAACGGCTCTTCAGCCTTTTCGGCAGTCGTCCGACGAGTCGAAAAACATCGACCGCGTCGTTCACTGGTAAGAATACAACGAATGTAAATAATAATTCTGAGTGTGGCACAGTACGGACCACCGCGTCGTATACGGAATATCCGCACATATTCTATGATACACGAATTACGGTCGAACAAGTTTATTGTAATCCCGCAGGAGTAGCGTCAGCACTGCGGGTACACATGGGCTACATCGCTGGTCTGGTGCCAGGCACGAAAGCTGCATCTACCTGTCAGGTTAATGCCCAAGGGGCCCGTCCGCCTCATCCCCGATGTGGCTCAGGACCAATAATTAGTATTACTAGCGAAGAAGATCGCAGATTAAGCCTCGGGCTGCGTCGTAAAGAGAGCAGCGAGCCCAGAGTCAATTTTAGCCTACCACCCAGTAAGTGTACGCGCAAGCTGTTCATTTTCGGCGATTATTTTACGATGAAATATACCTACATAGTAGGCACCTATAACGCGAACCGCGAGTAAATCCTGAGAGATGTACGTACGTGCCTATGTACATGCACAAATGGATACGCTTTGATTTGCAGAAGCGAGCACCAGCCAGTCATCCTCGCGGGAAAAGATCCGTGGATCGCCCCGGTTTCCGCATCGAATAGTCCCGGCGAACAGCCTGAACGCCATCGCGTCGGGATCATCGATCGCGAAATCGCAACGATGGCATTCGATGGAAGACGCGAGAAAAACGAAAGCCGCTCAAGTCCCTCGCGGCTCGTCGTGCACTCCTAGCTACGACGTATGGGCCACTCGTGAACTTGGAATTCCATTAAGCGAACTGGGAAACGGTTCTCGAGGCAAAAAGCCTCCGGAATCATTAGCCCTGCCCATTGCCGCGGAGTCTACGGCGATTCCCGATGACGCGAGTCTCGGTAACGATTCGAAGAAGCTCTTTAAAGGATACGATATCCTTGGGACTGACGATCCTACCGTAACAGATCCGAGATTCGCTGGACAAGCATCTTTCTCTTCTACTTCCCCTTCCCCGTCGTCGCCGTCTAACGCTAGGGTATCCGAAGGCATGAACATCGTCGTGTTGTCGTCTCCCAAAACTGAATCCCATTCCGAGTCCGTAACTGATGTAGCCCAACTAGATACAAGTACAAACTTTGTTCGGGAGCCGGACCGTTCTCGACTTCCGAGCCCGAGACCATCGAGCCCTATTGTTCTCGTGACAAATTCGGACGGCCTGGAACAGCCGGATAATTGTGTGAACGCGTCAAGCAAAGATGAGGGATCAACTGCCGTGTAAACTGAAATTTCAAAATGTATATTCCGTTCGTTGGGATATTTTTCTTCCTTTGCTAGTTGACTCATCTGGCCCCTACTCGTAGTAAAAGGAAAGAACGATATGTACCAGCGATACCTAACTATGTAATAAGATGGCACAGAGAAATTATCAAAGAACACGACAGCTAAAAGTATGATCGGTTTTGATTGTAGTATTTTTCTTTTCGTAGGAGTCGTGCAATTCTGCGTACACGCGACAATCTTCTGTATTCGTGTGTACAGGATCAAGCTCAAGTCACGCTAAAGTGCGCCAGACTCAAAAACAAATAATTGCTGTTTAAATTTCATCGTGTGTGTTCCTTAGGAGTTGTGCCAAAAACAAATAGGTATCCAGGACCCGTAAAAGTATACAGCAGATCGACTCTATGGATTAAGGAGGGACCAAAAGCAACAAATTCTTCTCTTCGTTGCCCGAAATTATTTTTAATAAACGATGAAAGTTCGTAAATGTCACTAGCTGATGAGGCCAATCTACGATGAGAGTGCGACAACTCCGTTTACACTTTCATTGTCCGACATCGTTCCGTGTACTTGTACAATCGTAAACTGTGCAAAATCATGAAAACCGAGCTGATAGTACTCTTACAGGTCCAACGTCAAAGTGTTCAGTGCCCTAAAAACCCTTCCTTCAGTACCTGCACTCGATGTAATTACAAATATATTTCCCCGTAACGCAAAATCACGAAAACACGAATGTCGATTTCTTCTGTAAATGTTAAAAGCAAGATATACTGATATTTTGATGCCGACGCGCAGAAGACTATGTATGTATACAACCTATAAATATGTAGATAAGAGCGAAAGAAGCGCAAAACGTTCCCTCGTTTCGTACCTCGAATAATATCGATGTGTCAATCATTGAATCGCTAATTACTAAGCAATAATGTTTGTCGGTGCAATTGAAGATGGTGTAATAAAGATAAATATATATATTCTATGTGATCGTTATCGATGACGCTCTTTCATGTGTTCCATAATCGGATCGCGAGCGCAACCGACACTTGACAACAGGTACATACGCAAATGTCGATCGAAGATAAATTAGAATATTTTATTGTTATCTATCTTTTGGTACAACGATGCATACGAATCGGTAGAGTACAAAAAGTTATATCTTTTTAAAACAGAATTATTTACATTATCTTGCATTTGAAATTGCGGAACTTCGTAGATATGAAGGATACGATAGATACAGGATTACCTACGATCGAGAAACACGAAATGAGCTACAAAATTCGCGGAAAGATCAAAAGTCCAAGCTTCAACGATCTGTGTTACACGATAACTTGGAATACCATTTTGTCTATGATTATGTACTCGTATATATTTACAAGAAGCGTTAAGTTTCGCGTATTCTTTAAGAGAAATTCTAAATACGTAATTAGTACGTATATTAACTCGGGAGACTTATTATTCTATCATAACAGTTCATTCGGACTTGCGAAACGCGATTCTCCTCTCCTTCGCTCTGATTTTATAAAACAACCAACAATCCCTTTCTAATCTGGGATAAAAAAAAGAAGAAAAAGTTCGTTTATCACTTAAATAAAAGGATAAATCACAGATTCGCGTATTTAAGAATGGAAATTCCTACATCTGTACTATGTCGCCTCTGCCGCGAGCAGTCGTAACGACTCCATTAGCTATATGGTCACCTGAAACAGTAAACGATCGATATTAATATAATACTTATTATCAGCCAGAATAACGAGTTCGAGACACGTGTATACGAAAATATCGAGACTTACGCTTATTTTCTCCAATATAGTTTCAGCCGGCTTATCCTTTCGAACGGGTTCCTTCGGACTAGTCTGAACCGATGTCGGTCTGGTCTCCTCTTCGGTCTCGTTTTTCTTTTCCGGGCTCTTCATGGCGTTCCGCGCCTCTATCCTCTTTCGATTCAGGAACGCCATCCCATGAACTCTAAGGTGCTTGTCCACGGCAGCCTTGTCTTCGAAGACAGCCATACAAACGTGACACTGGTTCGCCTCGATGACCTTTCCCTCGACATCGAGATCATCGATACTGTCCGGAGCATAAGAAGTGTTCCGAGCCATATACGCTATGGGATCATCTATTCCGTGGAATGCTTTCAGGTGCATTTGTAAGCTGGGCGCAACCACGAAATTGTCACCGCATTCCAGGCAAATCAAATATCGCCCTCTGATTCTATGAGCGGAGGCGATGTGCTCCCTCAAGTGTGTCATGTTCGAGCACCGTTGATCACACTTTTTACACCTAAAGTTTCCCTCGCTGTCCTCCGCTGTTTGCTGAGTCACGCACAGTCCGACTCCCGCGAAATTTGAATTTCTTCCCTCGGAATACTTTTTCGGAGTCCACCGCCGCCTCCTCTTCGAGTTCGAGGACACGTTCTCCGACTTGCGTTTCCTGTTGCCCAGCAGCACATCCTTGTAGCCACCGTTTATAAATTCCGGCGACATTCGAACCAACATTGGCTTAACCACCGACAATTTACAATTTTCCGAATGCTTTCTCTCGAAATGATTGCTCACAACGGACCATAACGTATTCATCGATTCACCGCACAGAGGACACGAGAAATTTAAGACCGTTTCTTTCGATTTCACCGGACCGTTCAGTGCGAGTCGTTGATAAAATTGCCTACTAGTTTTCTGGGTACGGGAGAACATAAACACTCTTTCTGTTTGCACGGTTTGTTCAGTGTTCGGAGCTCCATCCGATTCAAAGATACACTGAGGTATTTTGGAAAGCGGTGGTGGTTTTAGAAACGGTTCGTTTGTCGGACTTTCCTCGCCAGATGTATCACTGGTTTCACCCATTCCTGTCTCTGTCTGTCGATATCTGTCTTTATCCCCTTCGAGAGATTGCTTATCGTTCAGAGTATCATTTCGATTTGGCGCGTCTCTATTCGTTGGCACAGATGCAAGTATATCTTTTGGAAGGTTTGAAGAACAATCTGCGTCAATCTCTTCAATTTCCAACTTGCTCAACTTCACGTTAGTTATTTTCTTATTCCGTTTACTGCTTCTACTATCCGCAATTTCAATTTTGGTTCCTTGTTTTTCTTCCTCTTCTTCTTCTTCTACTGTAATTTCGACTTTCGGTAAGAAAATCTTACTCGGGGTTTTCGGTTTCTTTATTTCTAATCTCTTCTTGGCAACTGCACGTAACGTTTTGTTCGCAGGTTCGGTCTCATTTCCGTTAATGGATAAGTTCGAGGATCTCGTCGATCGATCAGCGATCGATCTAACGTCAAGTATCTTGGGTAAATTTTTATTCAGATCCGAGAATAGATTTTTCTTAGCTTTAACATCTTTGGGACGTTTCGTGGGTTCTGCCTTCATTAAGAAGTCGTCCGCTTCTTCTTCGGTTCCACGCTCGAATACTTCGGACGTAATAGTCCTGGTGTTTATAATTTTAGGCATGATCGTTCCAACCTCGGAAGGTACCTCGCACGCAACCGTCAATTTATTCGGTTGTGGCATCACAGCCTTCAAGAAAGTTCTCGCCATTTCCGACGGCAAAATGTTCAACAGTACTTGAGGGCTTATGATTTGGTAGAGTTGCGTCAAATGTTCATTCTCCAAGTGAGTCATTATCGGTTTCGCTTCTACATGTATGAACGCGCAGAATGGACACGTGAACCATATTAATCTTTGTACGACCAAATGTTTCTCCATGTGCAACATGTATTCTTCGCAACGTACAATGCATCGGCCGAGCTTGCACAAGGCGAGCCTTATCGGACGTTCGTCGCTTACGTCCGAGTGCTTCTCTGTGCAATGCTTCTGGTATTCCGAATACGTTGGCAAAACGATGTAACATTTCTCACACGCTATCTTATTATGACTGTGCATGATAGCGAAATGTCTGGAGACAGTTTCCATGTCTCTGAAACCGTCTATTTCACAGATCTTGCAACCGAGAACACGTTTCTTTAACGGATGAAAACAACTGGTCCATGTGTGCGCCTCTAGAGATCCGAATACCGTAAATTTACGATAACAGTCTGGACATAAATATGGCTTCTCTTTGTCGTGAAACGTCTGATGAGCCACGAATCGCGTCGAATTTCCTTGATACGTATCGCATTTATGACAAACATGTCTATAACAAGAACAATAAATATCGTTCTTCGTGGACTTGGAGAATCCTGGAATATAAGACTCAGGTTTCCTAGGTTTATTGCACGATTTACACAGCGATTTTTCCCCCGTGGTATTGTACTCGGATTCCCATTCCTCGAGCTGCGGATCCTTCGTGCTTCCGTCATCAATCTTTTCGCTACACTTCTCCATGCAATGTCTCAATACGTGCTGTAAGATATTAACGCTCTTCAAGTTTTCTTTAACTACGTTATCGGGAACAAAGTCCATTACTGTCAATATTTCCTCGTTGAGCTGTTGCAAGTGTTCGTGTCGTTTTTTCAGTTCCGTATACGAAAGATGAAAGAATTCGTTGAGCATCTCATGCTTCGATTTCGTGATCATCGCCGCGGAATCGACGATCGTATAGATTGGCTTCTGCGTATGAAATTTCATGTCGAGATACAAGTTCTCGTCTTCGCCTTTGTGAAACGACAGAGACCCGACCGAATCGTTGCTATTACGCGCCTTAACATCTGCAGCAGATTTGCTACTCGAATTGGCAGCATCGGTCTTTTGTGCGCCCTTTATCGTTAAATTAGATTGTTTCGATTGTACATCGCAACTGGAACTACTTGACAATTCTGACGGAGAGGGTGAAGGTGTTAAAGGAGAGATATCACTCTGAAGAGAGTTCACTCTTTCTGGAGTCGACAAATTTTCTACGTCGGTAGATTTAAGTGGTATTAACGGTGGAATATCGCTCGTAGATTTTAATTGCACTGCTCCTTGTACTTCTTTCATAACTTTGATCACATTAGATCCGTTTTGCAAATGTTTAGTACTACCTAAAGATTGTTTAATAATATACTTTAGCCCATTATGGCATATAATTTTATTCGATAAAGTCTGCGACTTCTTTTTAACCGATTCAATTTGATTCCTTTGGACACTCTTATTTGAATCCTTATCGGATGATTCGCTCCCCGGTGAATGTTGCGACGACATTTTATTCTGCTGGGTTTTTATATCATTTCCGCGGTTTGCATCGGGTAATAGTTGTACTACCTTTTTAGAAGGCACCTCTTCCGCGTTATGAACAGCAATAGCTTTGGAGTCTTGTCCTATAAAAAGAATTTTTTTGTTGGCCACGATGTGAGGTGGCAACTGTTTAATAATTGTATTAATATCAATATGTAGCGTATTATGGAACGTAACATACTTTTGCCCAGAATTAACAGTTACAACAGATGTATTTTGCTTTAATTTATCCAATTTATTTTTACACGCCTCCGATTTCGTTGCAGAGGAGGAGGTATCAGATTGTACCTTAGACAATGGTTCCATGATTAATATATTTTTGTCTGGTGTTACTTTGCTTCCCTTTCTAGTAGTACTGTTTCCAGTAACTAACTTAATTGGCATTGCACCCTTACTAGATCTATGTATTGTATTTTTCATTGATTTTTTATTAGCAGGACTCTTAAGAGAATCTTTTGTATTAAATTTTGGTGTGATCATAGTATTACCATATGACATAATCATATCAGATGATATAGAATTCAATTTTGATGCATTAACTTTTTTAGATTTTTTAATTATCATTTTAGAAATCTGCGGAACAACCAACGAATTCTGACCTGATTTTCCAGAAACTGTAGTCTGCTTTCTCAAAGTATTATTCACTGTAATTTCAGGTTCAAAATGTTTCGATGCAGGCCCACAATCCACAAAAGCAATGTCATTTATGGTGCAAGGAGTGTCTTCATTTTCAATTTCATTTTCATCAGAAATAAATATTGCTGTATCCACAGAGGAAAAGCTTTTCGCTTTACCAATTCTTTCTGTACTATTGATCATTTCAATGTTAGAATGGGTATTATAAAAACTGGACACAGATTGATTATTCAAAATATAAACCCTTTCTTGTATTGGTATTTCTAATTTTTGAAAGTAATGTTGACCTTTGTAATTTTTAAGAATAGACATAACAGGATTTTTATTATCTTCTGTTTCAATCATCTGCCACCAATCATTCTCAATATTTTGAGCTCTTAACCAATCCATTATATGAACCTTTGTTATAAATGTATGTTCCATGAGAGCTTCGCATATTGTATTAATATCAGAATCCCAATTTTGAGATAGGTTTGATGGAACAGGCATTAACATTAGGTCACCCATGTTTACATTTGTAACAGAATGGGCTTTCAGATGTGCAAGGAATTGACATTGATTAAAAAAAAGTGCAACTGCCCCAAGCTTTTGAGTTTTATGCAAGCCTTTGTTTCTTAAATACATACGTTTCTCACGTTCTAACCTTGAACATGCAGAGCATAAAGAGCCTCCTACAGAATCATGTGTACAAACTGTCATAAAGCATTGTTGACACCAGTATCCCAATATCCAACTTTTTCGTGCATGATGGTCCTCCAAACTGCTTCGAAAGTGAAAGCTAGCACAGAATAAAACTTTTCTATTGTAACAAAATTATATGCGAGCTTATTAAAATGGAAATCCTTAATATATTATTCATCTTACCGATCTTTGCATTGTGGACACAAATATAAAGTGTCAGACTCTGTGTCATGTTTCTTCACAGATGGAGGTCGTTCTGGTGGCACATAAGGGGGTGTCTGTATCATAAAAACAGCATTTCTCACTGCTGTATAATACTTAACACCCCACCTACTTTCAAGTCCTCGGTCCTTCCGTAATCTTGGCATGAGATTATGTTTATTACATATCACAGTACCCCAGAGATGTGATCCATTAGTATTTATCCAACATTTATTTGTGAAATTCACAAATAAAAATAAGTCTGATATAACAGAATATGTATGTCTGATACTGCACAACTATGTAGAATATTCAAAGACAGTGAAATACTAATACATCTAGTGATATATTAGGTCCACTACAAGCTATTATCATACACTCTTTCATGACATACAAGGAGTTTGATGTAACATTAAAAATCAGACAACACTATACAAGATTTGTTCACAGAATTCTTAACGAGTTTCACTATTTATAATTCCTGCTCTATATTTATTTTGCACAATGCAATGCATTAATGAAAGTTAACACATTGTTATAAATCACAAAACCACCATATTCAGCCATGATATGTTTTGCTGTTTCCAACTTGTTGGTAAAACAGAACATACAGAGCTGCCATCACGGGAAACGTTGGAAGTAAAGTTGAGCATCTAAAAATGCTTACATATAAAAAGCAACAAATATTTTTGCTTGTAGTCATTCACATAAACTGATTTTCTACATTATGGGACAATGCTTATTACTTAATGTTATTACAATAATTTATGAAAACTATACTCTCTTCATGAATGTTTAACACGACTGTAGACTATTAAACCATGTTGGAGTGTTTATAACCATCTTCCTCAAAGTCCTGTAAACAGAAATGATGTTACATGTAAGAAAATACAACAAGTAGGACTGATATATGATTATTTTGATTGATTTCCATATTACAAATATGTTGCATATATAAAATCTAATTTTCATACATCATAGACCCTATGTTAACTAAATCCCTTTTCATCTTTTAGATTCTAGATAGACAATATGCAAATAGCTGTGTCCTCAACACAAGCTATGATACTAGTTAATATAAACAACAACACTTACAACATGCTTTCATCTTAAAATTAATTAAATGTATCTCATGGAAAACATGGTACTATATAAGATAGAATAAAATGTTTTTACAATTTGAATACTCTCAATCACATAGTACTAACTAGACTTTATAAATGAATAATAGTTTCCCTAAGAAAGAAACACAATTGGTAGAAGGTACAATAAATAACAGTATTATTCCTACTGTTATGCTGAGAACCAATGATTTCACAAATTCTATTCAACTGTATTATTAAGTGCCAATTATTATTGTATTTACTGAACAAAACTTACAATTACTATTAAGCAGTATACGTTACACTTACAAAAACTTTTGACGTACATCTACTCCTGTACATTATTACAATACATTGAATTCCATACTGTTATTACTTGTAACTTATTAAATTTTTATAGTAACGTTGTTTACTGCAGAAATCGGGAGGTTTCTTGAAATTTATATCTTTTCCAACATATACTTTGGTGCCAGGTACATATTTGTTTGGTACCTCTAACCTTTCAGTCCACTTTTCATAGAGAGCGCTAGCTATGAAATGACAAATTCGATATATGTATACTGTATACATATGTATATCGAATATGTATACTAAAGTAGTATCACCGACTAGGTATAGGATAGACCTATCATCTTATGGGACTTCGTGTTTCATGTTCTGAAATACCGATAGTGTAAAAAGTCAGGGATTTTCTGCTGCCCTCTACGTTATGAGAACGGTGAATTTGTGAACTACGTTAAATCTAAGAAGGGACCATGATCGTGAACGGATTCTCTTCCGTCCGTTCGCTATAAAGTAGACGTATTACAAAGGAGTCTTGGGTTCTAATCCCGACGGACCTATATTAGTTTTTCTTCGCGTACAAAAAAGTTATTGCGTTTAATATTGTTTTTATGGATATGTATATGTATTATTATGTACATTTTAGTAAATTATTTTATTATTCCATTGTTATTACAACAGTTTAACAGTGACAACAAACGCATGCATATTTTCAAATCTCGGACTAATAGTATATTTTTATTCTATATTATTACATATAAGTGAGTAAT